ATAATAATAATAATAATAATAATAATAATAATAACCGAACATGTATAACCGTCCAGAAAGCATAAAGCACAATACACTTAAGCCTAATTAAAGAAAAACTTAACAACAAATAATAAATTGAGCCCAATAAATCTAAAATTTTATTCTAAAAAAAATTATTTTTTTTTGCCCATGTTGAAAGACTTTATTGTATATATATTCTTCCCCAATTATTCATTAGATATAAATATAAAACCTATTATTCTAATCAAAAAACAATCAGTGATTTTTATTTTAAAGCAATATTATTTCATCCAATTTATTCTTGGAAACTTGACTACTCTATCATACAGGTCAAAGAATTAATTAAATGAATGAAAAGTTTCATTGGTCACAACCCAGCCCCCGCCCCCCCCCTCCCCCTCAGAGAAAACGATACCAAACAAAATGTTACTATTATATTAGATTGATTAGGATATAAGACCCTTAAATTTTTGATATGTTCCACTCGGTGAAACCTAATCACTGTAAACTAAGTGACACTTTTAAGAAAAACATTAAATAAACTACTGCTATACTGTCGTCAAAAGACTTTAGCATCCACTTGAATATTTATGTATAGTCGTGTGTAACTGATTTATATTTGAATCCGTAAACACTTTATCTGGATCTCCAGTTATATTTTCCAATTCCACACGATTTATTGGATACTGAAATAAGTTTTAACAGAAAACGGTTATTTTACTCTCAGTTACAAATAACTGAATTAGAAGGTTGATTTTTTTAAAACTTTTACCTGATGATTGATTGCAATGGCAAACATGTTGGGAATAATTGTACGCAACTGACTGGCTGCTTCAGAAGTATCCCGTTGACTATAACCATCAGTAAAAATTATACCAACGGGAGTAGCCTCACCTGGTCTGCCTTCACTATTGTATTCCTCAACAGCCTAAAAAGCTTCTTTATTACTTTTTCTGAACATAATTATTTTTGTCAAAGTATACCGATAACAGAAATAAAAATTTGGTTCTACAATTTATTTTAAAGATAGTTCTAACATTTCATTAAGGTAGAGCGACAGATTACTAGTAATTAATTTATATGGCCTATTTTAGCAAAAAATTTTTAATCATAAATCTGTTTATTACACAGCCCAGTGATAAGCTTGAAATAAAACCTCTAATAAAAAAGTTCAATAAAAATAAGCTCTTTGAATAAAAACTATCTTTATATAAAATCCTGCCACTAGTTCCATCTTTACGTAGAATTCCTTACACAACTATTTTAACTTTATGTATTACACATATTAGAAAAAGATAGATTTGTAGATTTGTAGATTTGCCAACCTTCAAAAGTGCCTTGTCAATTGCTGTAACGCCGCTACTAAATACTACTGACTGAAGAGCGCGAAGAACAAGTTTTTTAGTCTGCGGTCGGTTAAATGACCAAACAGTTTTAACTTTCTCTTCAGCAGCAAATTTTATGATAGCGACGTGTGCATTTTTTTCGCTTATGCGAAGCCGTTCAATAATTGTTGCTGCCAATTCTTTTTGCCTTTCGAAAGTTTCTTGCACAGATCCGGAAGCATCAATAATAATAATTACATCCAACATGCAGCCTGTATCAATAACAAGTATTGAAAAAATTCAGAGCTGATGCAAACTTTTTCTTCTTGCGGTAAATGGATTTATTTCGTTAAAGCTAGAAGTCAGAGTAAAAGGTATAAGAAAACAAGATGTATAATTGACCTGGGACATATGGTGTTGTATCTTCCGTGTACAACTGAGTAGTTTTTCTTGTCATGCTCGTTATAGGAATCACAGTGGTAGGAGTTAAATGATTAGCCGTAGATCCGTTTATGGCGTTACTGAACCGACTAACTGTAGGTTGAACAGCTGGTCGAGTGGTTAAACGACTAGTTTTGGGTTGTACGGTAATCAGAGATGAAGTTTTAGTTTTAACTGCTGATTTTACAGAACTTTTTGTTGTTAGGGGCTTGGCAGTTTGAGTTGGAGTTGGTTTTTTAGTTTGTTTTGTTTGCGAAGTCGTTGCAGTAGATTTCTGTTTACTAATACCAATATTCTTTGAATCTGCATTGGCAGTTTCTTTAGTTTTAGTAATCACCTAAAACAGTAATATGCTAATTATTGTTATGGTTCTTTATGATTTTTAATAATGCAATTTACCAGTTTGTGTTTGAACGATATAAGATTGAGGCAAACCTTATTAGTTACAAATTCTTTTAAATCATTTTTTGAGGTTACGTCTTTCTGAGTTCCGTCACTGCCAGCAGCAAGAGAATCGTCCTTCTAAAAACAGAAATCAGTTTAAAAAGACAACCAAAAACCAAGAAGTGCTTAAAAAGCATTATAGACGAGTTATTGCATACATATGAAGAAGATAAATGTGGCAACAAAAACAAAGTAGACAAACTTTATCGCAACTTTCTGGTGCACTAGCCTCCTTTAGAACATCTCTTGCAAACTCAGCGTTTCGCTCGTAACCGTACACCAATTCAGGGCTACTGGTGTACATGGCTAAATTTTCAATATCTAGGTTCTTGCCACTGTCAACTGCAAGGACTAGAAGCTCCATATGCTAGAATAAAATGTTGTTATTTTCTCTGTATTCAAAGAAATCATTTTTAAAAACGCAGTTTATTGAAGGTACTGCTTGCTGTAATCTGCTTTCTGATAATTGAAGAGCGGATGTTAACCTTATCTAATAAAGTCATAATCGAATCGCGTTCCTGTGCTGTATCGTAAGAATGACCGTCGCCAACAAGCAATAACAGACCTCGTGCATCGGGCCGATGAGCTTTTTCATACTCTCTATAATTATTTGTAAGTTCGTGAAAAAAACAGTGCAAGGTTAATGTTTGAATAGTTCTGACCAGTCACTTTTCTCTGCACTACTACTACACCAAAAGTGAACTTACTTCACTGCAAAATTTACAGCTTTGGCATAATTTGCTTGTTTGTGTTGGGCTGTTATACCTTCAACTTTTTTAAAAATGGTTTCTCTGCTATCATTATCGGCAAATGAAACTGTTAAATTTGGTTTATCAGCGAATGATATGAGTGAAAGTTTAAGCTTGCCGGAATCCCACGTATCAGGCAACGATCCTGAAAGAATATTATTTACTGACTTAAAGCAATTAGTGAGAAAAGTATTAGGTTAAATTGTTATTTACCAAGAACATCGAGCAGTAAAAATCGGTTTAGGCTTATTGAAGGGTCGCTCATATTGGAGGTCGAGTCTGAATTATCAAAAACTACCACTACATCGAGATTTGGCAAATCGCAGTCGTCTGCCAGTGGTGTCACTTCAGCCGTTGATTTCTGTACTGGGGATTCACAGTCCTTTCCTTTAGCAAGAAGAGAAACGACGTCATTGAGGAACCTAAAAAAATTTAACAAACTTAACGAATGAAAAATTGCAAATTACTTTTGGTATTTCTATAATAACCTTTCTGTCTCGTCATCACGATAGATTCGGTCATCGTCTCCAATATATCGACGAAGCTCTCTCATATCAATATGTTGTCCAAGAGCTACTCCAAATCTTTCTGGTGCTACACTTCTTAACCTTTCGCTTGCTTTCAAAACAGCATCCCAAGTATCTTGAGACAAACCGTCATTCATTAGAACAACCACCTGCAATAACCATAACTTATATGTTGTAAAACAACCGTAACAGGTAATAATTTGAAGAAAAAACAAGAAGTTATATATTAAATTAGTTAAGAATCACAGTTATTAGAGCGAACACTTGTCTTACTTCAGATACAACAGCATTTAAACAACTGTAAATTTTTTTATCTGTATACATAGTAATTAAAAAACAAGTTTTCTTCCTCTCTTTTTTTTCTTTTTTTTTTCAAAAAATTTGTTCATGATTTTGACCTGGATAGCATCCGGTCTTCGGCCGCTTTCCAAATCATCTACAGACAACTCAATAGCACTTGCAGTCAGAGTGCTTCCGCCAGTGTACTTAATATCTTCAATTGCGTGCCGTACCATCTGAAAGAGTGAAATAAAATAAAAGTCATACTTGATTCAGCAAAAATAGTCGAAAAAAGAAGCAATTAAAGTTTCAGTCAAAACAGAAAATTTCTTAAGCAACTTGCACAGGTAGCACGCTAACCTGCTTGTCGCGGCCTAATCCTAACGTCTGTCGTAAGGTAGGTACTTCAGTGAATGAGTTGATACCAACAGCTACATGAGTCTCGTTAACATCAATTGGTAAACGTTCGACAAGCGAAAGAGCAAGTTCTCTTTGGCGCTCAAAAACTTCCTGACGACTTGTTGACGCGTCGAGGATTATCTCAAGATCCATTTTCCCATATTTGCATCTAAATAGTTTCTTGAATTAAAACAAATGCTTATTTCTTTGAAACTTCTGAATAATTAAAAAAAATGTTTTCAATTGACTTTAGATTTAAAAGTAGGAGAAAAACAAGAATTTTAAAGATGTACTTTTCGTTAACAAATGTAGACACCGAAGTGACAACGCTTCCGTCAACTGCCTCGCTAGGTTCTGGTGTCGTAGTCGAGCTAAAATGATTTTAAAGTGGAGCATAGTCTTTATTCAAGTAAAACAAGTGAATAAGGACAAAAGCCCAATAGACAGAATAAAAAGTGGCTGTGCAATTCCCAACCTAGCCGGCTCTTTTAGAGGCGATTCTTTACAGTCCAGAACAGAAGCACTAACTTCCTACAAAATTATATTAATAGTAAAGTACCAAGGAAAACAATATTTCAGACTTATATTTGACAGATTAAATATCAAAAATAGAGTTATAGCTTAAATATTTCAGAAAAATGAAAAAGATGGTTTAATAAGTAACTAACTTCAATAAACTTGGAAATGCGACCATTAACATAGATATTTGCTTCATTGTGAGTGTATTCCTTTAATTCATCCATTGAAAATTTTTTTGAAAGCGTCACAGCGTATATTTCTCCTCCACTTCCATGCAATTTTCCTGCAGTAGACTGAAAAAAAAGCAGAATTTATTTTATCTCACCAAGTTCTCACCACACACTAAATTTTAAATCAATACAAGTAAGAAAAAATAGAGTTAAGCAAAACGATTTTTTTGTGTACCTGAACAATAGACCACTGATCTTGGCTATTTCCGTCAGTTATGAAAATGACAACAAGTCGTGCGTTTGCTCGATGGTGTTGGGCAATCTCCTTAAGAGCTTCATTGGTACCAGCAACCAAAGAAGTTTTCCCAGACGTATACTCAACTCTTTCAAGATCATAAAGAATATCGCTCTTAGTTCGTAAACGACCAAGTCGGAATTGTACTTTTGCTGAACCAGCGAATCTTATAAGACCAACAGAAATCCTGTTCTAAAAACTGATAATAAAAAAATGTCGATATTAACTGCAACAAAAAGCAATTTTTTGTGCAAATTAAGAGTTTAAAGTATTTTGTAATTTTCTAATGTATTACTGAAGCTTTAAATATTTTCTCGCAAAAATTAAATATTACTACTGTGAATTACTGTGAATTACTGCAATAAGTACTGTAAAATTTTTTGCCTAATTTGTGAAAGTCATTATTAGTAAAGAAAAGCACTTAGAAATATTTGAGAAGTTTACCTCCAGTGTTGCATCAGGAATCGCCTTCACAAGGTCCAGTGCAAAGTTCTTTTCTGCATAAAATTCGTCTTCAATACTTGATGAGGTGTCCAAAATGAAAAGAATGTCAACAGGATCATTTAAGCATTCAGGGGGATAAGTGCTGAAAAAGTGCATTAAGGAGCTGTTTGGCCTTGCACGAGCTAATGTCATAGAATTCGTGATTCATATTGATAAATTAAGTGTTTTGTAAAATTACTACTCTAGTTACACGAAGCGATCAAGATACATTCAAAGCGTTTTTAAAACCAAATCCGTTCAACTTTTGTTGAGAAACTAAGAAAAAGTTTTGTGATTACAAGTTTCAGATTACTCACTTTTCCTTTGTAACTGGATCAAAAGTTGTTGAAGTCGTAAAAATTGGTTTTTCCTCTGTTTCAATCTTTTCGGTTTCACTCTGCAAGTAATAACTTGCATTATCCTAAAATTTTTAAAAAACCGGAATAAACTTCGTTTTTACGACTACCTTTGAGTCGGGATCTGTTGGAATGTCCGGTTTTTCACAACGAGCTACCGATACTTCGACCTGTTCTAAAAACTGACGAACTCTGGCGTCAATATAAACAAACCACTTATTTCCAGCGTATAATTCCAACTCACTGCAATATTAGAACAATTTATGACAGCAGGACTTTTAGCAACAAAGCGAAAAGCATTTTTTTAAAACAATTGCATAGCTTAGCGTTACGAGTGAGCATTTACCGAAAGAAGTAATCATGGCTGACAGTAACCGCATAAACATCCGCATTGGTGTTGTGAAGACGATCAGCTGCAGATATCACGTCAGCCCATGGATCTTGGCTATTGCCATCAGATATTAAAACTACCATTAACCTATAATAATTTAGTGAGAAGATTCAAACACGTAATACCATAATATTGCTAATGCAAAAACAAATTCGAGCAAAAAAAACCTTGCATTTTTTCTGGCTGCATTTTGAATTTCACTTACAGCAAGATTGACTGCCTTAACAACTGACGTACTGCCTCCTGTATGCTTTAGGTCCGAAAGAGCTTGTACAACCTGTATTAATTTTTAGGATAACCGTTCTTCTTGTTTTAGAAACAATTCAAATTAGTGTTACTAACTTGAGATCCATTGTTGTATTCGCCGAACGAAAATTCCAGTTTAGGCGCACGTGCAAACGACACTACACCAACCCTGACTCGATCCATCAAGTCGCCATGACCAATTCTTTTGACCTGTATTAACCATTACTAACTACGAGAAATCAAAAGAAATAAGCCTTTAAACAAATTGAAGCTCTTCGAGTAACATCATACGTTGAAATTAAGCACCAATTTCTAACGACAATTACCATTTCAATGGCAAACTTCAGTTGATCTTGAAATTCTTTTTCTACGCTTTGTGAACGATCGATTATAAACATCAAGTCTACTAGACAATTTGGGTCAACAATCACACTCTAAAAACAATTAATTGTTTGCAATTTTTGGAGAGGAAAATTGTTATTTTTAAAACTGTTAGTGGTTACAGAAGATCCAGAAACGAACTGATGTTGAAGATTCCATAGTAACAGTTTCTAATGTAGATGAAGCCATAGGTAAAATGCTTTTTTCGTTTTCAAATTCCTTATTTTTTTCGGTTTCTGTTACTCTGTTACCTTTTTCTCCTAAAAAGATTTTTTCTAAATTTGAACTATAAAAAAATATATATAGATAGAGGAAGTAAAAAGAAACACTTTAAATCACAAAATTTGAGTTTTAATTTTTTGAATGAATAGTTTCAAAACATTATTCTTTTAGAAGTGTCATTCACCTTTTTGAAACACAACGAAGGAGTCATTCATTTCCGTTTTTGAGGTCGAGCAAGGATTTATCTTAACCAATTCTAAGACAGCCTAAAATATATACAGTTTTAAAAGCACTAGCATTTTTTTGATATTAGCCTTGATTACACAAGAGAAGTGCATGATAACTAACTGTTAAATCATTTGGTATAACGCGACTCTCATTTGCAGTGTATCTAAGCAGTTCAGAATGAACGTTTTTATCAGATGTAAAAACGACGTATATATCTGCTGCAAAACCTGAAAAAAACAATGAAAATTGCTTATTATGCA